CCGGCAGCAAAAGGTTCTGCCGCTACTAATGCCAGGCTGTGGGAGTCCTTGTACGGTTAGGTAATTTTAAAGTGTGTGAGGGACTCTGTGGGTATGTCTGCACTACAGAATAAGGTCAAATTAAGGTACCCAACTTGAGTTCTCTTAATTGTGTAGCTGAAGTTGAAGTACCGTTAACCAAATCATGGTGCTGTCCACGGTGCCGGAAGTCAAAAGGAGAAGACTCTCTCGCTTCAACTTTCCTTATTCCACATGGAAGCAGGACTGCTGGCAGGCCCCTCTCACTTTGAATTAGCTGTCCTTATTAGACCCACTAATTCAAACCCTGGAAGATTGACTGCGGCAGCTTCAATCTTCTCTGTACTGTAGGCGAACCCTATGTGTGAGAGAGAGAGAGAGAGAGAGAGAGACTCAGAATGTCCCTGGCCATCCTATAAAGAAGCCCTCTCTAGAAATGCCACCTGTAGTTTTGGTTGCACACCGTTTCTGCTCCCACAAGTAATTTCTAGAGGATTTCTGTGGCAGTTGCCATTTCTCAGCTGTTATGCTGGACTCGTATTGTAATGTTAATAGAAAATGGGATCCGGTCTGTAAGAGGAAACACTTGTCAGTATTTTAAAGGAAGCTGCGGAAGATGTACAAATACAGCACCCTGTAAATGTTGATGAGGGATCTGTAGAAATGACCAAAAGGGGAGGACAGTGGGGTGAGGTGCCTAAAATGGACAAACACTCCACCACTATGACACAGAAGCAGCTGGTGTGACACTTTGACTGGCTGCAGGAAAACAGCTGCTACAAAGAGGAACAGAAACCGAAGGCCCCAGGGAGGTTTTTGTATTGGTCTGTATCACTGTGAGAGGTAAGCTAGTACCTTGCTGACAATAATAATTTCCAGCATCATCAGCTTCTACTCGGTTGATAGTGAATGTGAAGTCAGTGCCAGACCCACTGCCGCTGAACCGGTCTGGGATCCCAGAGGGACGGGTGGAGGCGCTGTGGATGAGGAGTTTAGGAGCTTGTCCTGATTTCTGTTGGTACCAGGCCACGTAGCTGCCAACATTGGTACTGGCTTTGCAGCGGATAGTGACTGTGTCTCCAGGAGACACTGCCAGGAATTCTGGCGTCTGAGTCATCACAACCTGTCCCTTGGCATCTGGATGAGAGGAAAACATCAGTAACGTCAAATGAAATACAGTGAAGACAGACAAAAAAGAATTCCTCAAATCTCTGGTAACTAATCTTCATGTTGACAACCTAGTTCCATTCAGGCCTATGCCAAATGGAACTGTATCGCTCTGTGAGTACATGGAATGAAGAAGTAACCTTGGGTTGAAGAAATCTGTGATGATTAAATCATGGGTGAGAGATTGTGTTAATCTCCTCTAATGATGAACTTACCCTGAATCCAGAGCACAAGGAGCCAGATCAAGTGATTCTGTGAAATCATCATTGTGCCTCTCGTCTAACAGACACTGAGGCATAAAGGCTAAAATAAAATTTATAGCTGCTGTGCATTGCCAGGAAATGCTACTTGGGCAGAAATATGCAAAGCAGCTGCTCTATGTAAATGCGTATTTGCTGTGTCCCCTTTCAGAGAGTACAGAGAAAGGGCCATGTACACACTTTGGACTGGTGTGTACAGTCTTTGGTCTGAGCATGCAGCTCCTATAGATGGAACTGAGTATTGCTTGCGTTGGGCTGGCTCTGGCTCCTATTATCAATATGTGCTTTAATGCAAGACCCAGTGTGCATGTTCGCCTCATTGGTTACTGTAAGCCAGAAACTGAGACGCTTCCTTTGAATTATATGGTACTTTGAGAGTCATTTTGTTGGTATCAGCGGTACAGTAGAATCTCAGAGTTACAAACATCAGAGTTACGAACTGACCAGTCAACCACACACATTGTTTACTACTGGAAATGAGAGAGTAGTAGAGACCAAACCACCACAAACACAGGTACAACAGACTAAAAAAAAAGGGGGGGGGGGGGGGGGGGGGGGGGAGAGGAGCGGGGAAGTATTTTTCTTCTGTGTATGAGTTTCAAAGCTGTATTAAGTCAGTGTTCAGCTGTTAACTTTTGAAAGAACCATTAAGTTTTGTTGAGAATGTTCTGAACAAGCTCCATTCTCGAGGTGTTTGTGGTGCTCAGATTCGATCGTATTGCTTGCGGCATGAGCTGCTATTCAGTATCAGATATTGATCCGCCCCTTCTGGAACACGCTTTGTTCAACGCAGTCATCTGAGTTTCCAGGCCAGCCATTTTATCTCCTAATTTTCTCTCAAGATGCTTGCTCATGAATATAGATCAGTGGTTATCAACCAGTAGATAGGGATGTACTGGAGCCTCTGAGAGGTGATCCTGACTGGTGTGATTGGGATGCTATCAAGTGCTGGTATTTCAGCTGCCCCTCTCCTCACTGCCCTGCTGTTCCTGTTGTTGGCCTTGAAGCCATCCCCTGGGAGCCTCCTGCTTGCTGAGCATGGCGGGGGAGGCAGAAAGGAGGGGCACTCATGTCAGTGTATCTTCCTCCCTCCACACCTGTACCCCATCTCCACAGAGTGAACAGGGAAGGGCCTTGGAGAAGAGAAGGAGGCGGGGCGAGGGCATTTGGGTTTGAGGCGCATTCTGAATTGACAAATTGAAAGACGTGATCTCGTGTTTGAAAAAAGGGTGGAGACCACTGCTCTAGATGGCACTTGGAAGTGATGGAAGGGCAGGGGACTAGACTTGATGACCTCTCGAGGTCCCAATGATTCAATGATTATTCTTTGGTGATCTTGGCAGTTTTTTTAACTCATTCTCCCAGGGCTCAGTATTGCATGTAATGGGAGACGTTCTTTTTGGTCTTCATCCCCCAGGCCTCCCATCATACAGCTCCGCTGAACAACTTCTATAACAACATCTTACAGCAGACATTTGGGTGTGGGCATAGTCTCCTCTCCGCGGGGCACTGGGCTTTGTCGATGTGAGAAGTTTTGCTGACAGAGTTGAACAGTATCAGCAAACCATCCTCGTGTGGTTGCTGTATTGAAGAGTTTCTGCCAGCACAGTTTACACCCATTCCCTAGAGACACATTCCTTCCTGGGGGAGGCAGTTTGATGGCTGCAAAATGGTGTCTAGTTCTGTAGCTCAAAGAATCACGGTGATGGGGTGGGTCACAGAGATCCACTTGAGACACTGTCCTGATGGGCTGATCATACCACTGACACCTTCATCCCAGCCCTCTGGGTCACCCCACCATCTGACCTGCTGAGTCAGAAGCTCTCGTTTCCCCCAGCAAGACACAGAGTTGGGGTCATGAACTCTGCAAGCAGCTCAGCTCTGGGAGGGCTCAGTCCCGGGGACAGGACACAGTACCCAGGTGCAGAGCCCCAGTGGGACCAGAGCCCCAGATCAGCCTGTCCTACTCTGCATAAAAGTGTTATCCAGAACAAGCTCATCAGTTCTTCTTGCCCTTTATCAATGAAGGAGAGACATAAAGAGCTGTTTCCTTCCTTCCCCCCCTTTATAACTCTGTGTAGTCTGCTCACCCCATTCAATGCCCCATGTAGCTGCTACCTCCCCTCTAGCAGGAAGGACACAACATCTCATGCAGCCTGCCAGTGCTGTCATGCCATGTGTAGCAACCTGAGCATTGCTGTAGAGTGAAGGGAGTCCTTCCCTCAACAATTCAGCCCTGCCCACCTCTGCAGCCAGTCTAGCCCTCAGGATATCGGCACTGCTCCTCCAACACGGCAGCCCTGCCATTGGCCACTGACTCCATCATGAAATATGCAGACCGAGTTGGGGCACCAATAAGAGACACTTTGAGAGGCTGAGGGAGGGAGTGAAATGATGGAAGGTAGTGAGGGAATCATGTTGTCAGCTGATGTAGAATCCTGCTTTGGGCAAGAAAATTCCTTTAGTTGGAAACTCATCTGGGTTGTATCACTTTGTGTGTGGGGATAGTGGGCTGACAGAGGACGTGTATTGCTGAAACGCTGAGCAAAACTTTGCCCTTCTAGACTAAAAGTCTGAGGATGTAAACAAATGTAGCAGCTGCACTAAGCGGTTGCCTGCAGGAGGCAGCTGTGACTCGGAACTGAACAGCACAGGGAGGTTTTTGTGCTGCTCTGTATCATTGTGGAGAGGGGTTTCATAGCCTGTCTGACAGTAATAATCTCCAGCATCATCTGCTTCAACCCTGCTGATGGTGAGAGTGAAATCGGTCCCAGATCCACTGCCGCTGAACTGGGCTGGGATCCCAGAGGCACGGGTGGAAGCAAGGTAGATGAGGAGTTTAGGTGCTTGTCCCATTTTCTGCTGGTACCAGACTAAATAGTCATCGCCTGAGTCAGTAAGGCTGGAACTGGCTTTGCAGTTGATGGTGACTCTGTCTCCTGGAGACACTACCAGGGATTTTGGAGTCTGAGTCAGCACAATGTCCCCTCTGGCATCTGGATTTAGGAATAATATGTAATTTAGTGCATTATCATATTTATAAAATATCGTCACTGTCTTTATAGAATTACTCTAGCTCATCCCCTGATCTTAGTGACAAAAATAAAACTTTCATATTAATCCACTTTCTCTGTTGCTCTTGGCCTTCTCATATGTTTTTGTTTCTTTTAAGGCAGTTTTAATAAGAGAAACATTTTCTGAAGTTAGCGATGATCTCTGAGGAACATATTGTTTGTATTTTGCCTCTCTAGATTGAGCCAATATAAAAAAAAAGTTTCAATCTGAAGCTCTTTAGGACAGAGACCATCTTTTTATGAACTGTCTGCACAGTTATCGAACAAAGCTACCTTGAGGCCTATTTAGGCCACTGAGTTGCTACTGCATAAAGGATTAGTAAATCAATTCATAGAGTTGCCTTCTTACCCTGGATCCAGAGCACTAAGAGACAGATGAGTGGCACTTGTGAGATCATCTTGATATGTCTGACTGCCCAGATGCTGATGGCCAAGCTATAACAAGCAACAGGGGATGATTTAATAGCTCAGAGCAAGATAGAAATATCACATGGGTGGAAATATGCAAATCTGGGTCAGATGAAATTCAGGAGCTTGAAAGAGATGCAGAGAACCAGAAAGGGCCCCGCCAGCTGCAATTAACAAGCTCAACCCTCACACCTCTGAGGCCCTGGGCAGCTCTGTCTTGAAGAACTGAAATGCCATTCGTGAGGAGTGACTGAGAATAAACATTCTGTGCTCGTTACCCTTGTCTAGGTCAGCACTTTTCAAACTTTTCTTGTGGTGCCATTGAAAAAAATTGGTGATGCCCACGGACTCACATAATTTCACTAGCACGTGGGCTCTCGGGTGAGGCTGAGGATGTGAGTTTCAGAGTGGTGGAGGGGCTTGGCTTTGGGTGTGTCAGGGCCGGGATAGGAGGCAATTACCTTAAGCAATTTCCTGCCAGTAGTGCAACAGGGATGCTGAATTAGGCTTGCTGCCTCTCCTGGTATCCAGACCATGCTGCACCCCAAAAGGAGCCTGCAGCAGGTTTTTCAGCCAATGGGAGTGCGGAACTAGTGCTCGTGGCAGAGGCAGTGAGCGGTTCCCTGGGTGCTCTCCCCTCCACCCACACACACACACACACCCACCCCCCTACCTACCTACCTACCTACCTGGGAGCTGGTCCTGTTGCCAGTCTCCTCTGTGACGCAGCACAGTCTATGGGGCCAGGATAGGCAGGTAGTCCGTGTTAGCATCTCCAATGGTCACCTGATCCGCCTGCACCAATGAGACCTAGTACCTGACATTCCACCACCCAGTGCAAGGTTATGACCTGTAGTTTGAAAACCACTGTTCTAGGTCCCAGTTGGTAACACTGATACAGCACAGATCTCCTCAGAACAATCGTACCAAGTGCGCTCACTGACAGAATAATGATACAGAGGCTTGTGTTGAGGAGTGTGTTGGCGCATTCAGCAAACATGGATAACCCCCGATTGGGCCAAAGCAAAGAAGTTTACTTTTTGATCTAAACTTCTCTGACATCACTAGGAATCTTTCCACTGGCTTCAGTGGGGTTTTGGGCCAATTCCTGGTGCTAAATCCCTGTGGCTATGTCTAGACTGCTGAGCTTTTCTGGGATAACGAAGGTATCCTGGGAAAGGTATGACATGTCCAAGGAACACGTCCCCTTTTTTGGAACAATTTTCCAAAAAGCAAACATGTTCTTTCACCATCACAGTAATCCTCATTGTTTGAGGAAGGAGGGATATGTGGAAAGAGGAGGTTTTCCCTGCATTTTGGCCCCGTGTAGACAGGCCAAATTTCGGAAAAGCCTCTTTCAAAAGAAAAGTGAAAAATATATGCAAATTGTGGTTAGCAATTTGCATATCTTTTTTCCGAATCTTCTTTATAGTGTAGCCCTAGCCTGTGTCTCCTTATTTACATGTCAGTTTCACCACCACGGCTGCTAGACTGCCAGTAGAAACTGGTCTGTTTCTGTTCTCCACCTCATCCAGCTCCAGGGGATGGCACAGTACCATGGCAGGGCTCTGAGGTCTGCATGCAGCTCCCAGCATGTCCTGTCAGTGATATGCCATGTCTCTACTATGTGAGGTGGGCAGGGAGCACTGTGTCTTCTTCCTTTGCTGCATCTGCAGCCTTCACAGCCTCCAGGGGCCCCAGGGCTCCGATTGTCACAGGTTTCGTCCCCATGGCATTTACTGCCAATGAAGCCCTGGGCTGCCCATGTCTGTGTTACCTCTGAAATGCTCCCAGAGGTTCCTAGGGCAGTAAGTGGCAGTCATTGTTTGGGTTTGGGGGACAAAATCTTTGACCCTGTGGAAGAGCAGTTCAGGGGATATTCGGAATGAAAACCACCTGGGTGATGTCCTTATTCCTGTCTGTGCTGCAGGCTGGGGAACTGTGGAAGAGCAGCAGTGTCTGTAGCCCAGTCCCACTCCCCATCTCCAATTCAAGTGTGGTAGTCGCACAGATATTGAATGTGTAGGAAGCAGCTGTGACCTTAATTGAACTGCACAGGCAGGTTTTTGTGCTGGTCTGTATCACTGTGTGAGAGGGGTAGTGTAATGCTGCTGACAGTAATAATCTCCAGCATCGTCCGCTTCAACTCTGTTGATGGTGAATGTGAAGTCGGTGCCAGACCCACTGCCACTGAACCGGTCTGGGACCCCAGAGGCGCGGGTGGATGCATAATAAATAAGGAGCTTCGGCGCTTGTCCTGATTTCTGTTGGTACCAGGCGATATAGTGAGTACTACCACTGGTGACACTGGAACTGGCTTTGCAGCGGATAGTGACTGTGTCTCCTGGAGACACTGCCAGGGATTCTGGAGTCTGAGTCATCACAATCTGCCCACTGGAGTCTGAATTCAGAAAGGGAACATCAGTTAATATATGCATCTGTAGTGTCTCTAATCTATTCATATAGCATAAACATATATGATTTATATACACATCAATAGTATTGTTAATAAAACCAAAGAGAATATTAATTAGTATGTACACGTACAGTCTCTGTTTCTAGTCCACGCACATAGTATGAATAAATATATAATTTATAGACATATAATGATATGATGCTAACATTGTTTGAGCTAGGTTTTTTCATCCCCAGTTTTTAATTTCTTGTATTTTTCTCAGATCTTTTCCCTTTTACTTGCAGTCAGGTGCCATTGTTTCAGAAATTGTCGTCAGGAATGGCAGAATGGTTATTTGTCCGTATACAACATTTTCACATCGCTTAAATTTTACCATAGATCATGGTGGCTTAAATGATCCAGACCCCCTTCCTTTGATCCTTACCCGTGACCCAGAGCACTAACAGCCAGATGAGCTGAGCCTGCAAAATCATCTTGCTACGTATGACTGGCCTGGTGCAGATCAACCAATGCTACCAGTGACATGGAACGTTTATAAGGGCACAGAGCTGCCAGGCAGCATCACTTGGGTGTGAAATATTCAAATTGAGGTTCAGTGATGTAAATTCCCAGATGACTGAAAAGCCCGCAGAAAAAGAGAATTTAAGGAAGCCAGGGATGAAATAGGCAAATGCTACCTGCTGTGCTCTGGGAAAGCATCCTCAGTTTTTGTTAAACTGGAATTTCTGTTGACAGTAATGGTGGTACCTGGAGGTCTCCATCTGTCCCAGGTCCCATTTTTGGTGAGAGCTGAACAACCCCATATTAAGAGAAATGGTTGGAATGGAAATAAATATTCTCAACTTCTTAGTGTTGCTTGGCTGCTGGGTTACATGTAATGACCTCAGATTCATTTTTATACTAGGAGTCACTTCACACAGATGAATTGAATGGTATTAATTAGAGGTCTGCGTTTGGGGATCTGTGCATGGAGGGGGTAGCTCCTCTCTTCTTAGCTTCTCCCCATTGGATTTTTTAGTCATCACCTCACAGACTCTATAGTAATGCACATGGGAGCTGTGAGGTCTTTAACTTTTAATCTCCTATTTCTGCCATTTTAATCCTTAAAATCGGTGTAGTGGACAGGAGTAGGGTAGTCTCACATTAAATAGTGAGCCCTGTGGCAGTGGTATCCATGTTCTGTGTAAGAATTCACAAATAGACCTGAACTTTTGTTCCTGGAGATTTAAAGTTGGACTCACGAGTTTGTATTTCAGCTCCTAAAATATTCATTTGGCCTCCTTTACAAAAGCATAGAGCTTGCAGCATGGTAGTTGGAATGGTAGTTGAATGTGGCCACCTGCTGTAATCTCTGTGCAAGTGCAGCTCCTTGTTGAAAAGTGTTAGGTGCACAAAACAGCCCTCCTGATAATTTTCCTTGCCAGTGCCTTGCTGTGGCTCCAGGACCGTACAGAGCCCCAGTTCTCTGCAACTCCCATAGATGACCATGAAGATTCTTAAAGGCTCCACTTGCAGTAAATCGTTCTGCTTCTGCTACCAGCCCTTGGGATTCCTTGTATGGTTAGATAATTTTAAAGTGTGTAAGGGACTCTGAATGGGATACTCAAAATGTCTCCAAGCATCCTACAAAGAAGCTCTCCTTGGCAATACCACCTGTAGTTTGGGTTGGGATGTCCTTTACTGCTGCCCATATCAGTGGTAATTGTAGAGTCTTGGGCTTGAAAAACTTGTGATGTTGAGAGTTTACTTCATTCTGGCATAATCTAGCATAGACCACTAGGATACCTCTGGCCCTCTGTGTCCTTTATAACACTATTAGCAATGTAGGTTCAATGTCTCTAGGTTTAGTTACTCTTGCGGGCTTTCTATCACATCCTGAAATTCAGAGTGTAAGGCAATAAAGCACTAGGCTGCCCAGCTCTGTCTGTATATTGTTTTGTTTTTTTAAAAAGAAAAATTATCATAGCACTATCATAAAATACGTTTTAATACTGATATTTGGAAGTGGAAGAAAAGTGTTAACCTTTTATGCCCCAAAGAATAATTTGTCTATTAAAATAATAGATGAGGGTAGTGAATCAGAACACTGATTTATTATTTTTTTTATTCAATTGAACACCTTTAAATTCTTTTAAAAAAATGTCTTCAGTAACCAATCTTGTGTGTAGACCAAGTGAGAGGGAAAATCTTGTCCTTACAAAACTGTCAGTTGTCTACAACACTGCACTATGATAAAATGTACTATTTTTATACAGGTGGCGAAAGTAATGAAACTATGCAAGGAAGAAATCCTGGACCATTGTCAATTATTTATCTGTAACTCACACAGTGCAGTTTATAGCCTTCTAGTGTATTTTACTTATCTCTGTGTAAAAGTTTAAAATATTGTTATGGAGACAGATACCTCTTCAAGTTGATTCAAGTTATAACTAGTTTCTGATATAAGGTCTTCTTTAATTCATTTGAAAATGTATTTGCTGTGAAAATTTCCAGATTCCCTCTGAGCATTAAGGGGAAAGTTTCTAAAAACTATGGAGGAAGGTCAGCAACTTCTTTATCAGAGGCAAGTCATGA